TCATGATGTTTGATTGATTCATTATCGTGCAAGAATCTTGTATCGACTCTGCATCGTATGTGAACGAGGAACAGTATTCAGTGCAATAAGATTTCGTCACGACTGGACTCGGTACAAAGGTAAGACGACATTTTGTACTCGTTGAGATTGATAACATCCAACAAACTCTTGTTATAAGTCATCAGAAAGCGGTATTTATCCTTCAATCATGTCACCAAATCGTTGGTGGTTGTTTATTAGTGTCTAAGTATCGATGTGAATTCCAAATAACTTATTAGTCAAATGTCGTCGAATTGAACACTTTATGCTCGATTTTATAACGAAATGTCCCTAAATATTTGTAGGAAATCYATTCGATTGACTTATCCTATTCATCATTTTTGTGATTTAGAAGATTAACATGAGTTACTTTACTTTAAAAATCAATGTATTTACTCTTTGAGTTCAAGTAGATACAATGTTTACTTTTTGAAAACATAGGAAGCCCAATTTGATATACTGAAGGCTTTGGAGAGACGACATGAAATGGTCGAAGGCATGTTCTATCGGTGAATCAAAACTAGAAGCTGGTGAGACTAGGGATGCTATACGATACTTGAAAAAGGCCCTGATGATTGCACAAAAGAATGGCTCCAAACAGGAAGAAACTGTCACGCTAGCAAAACTGGCTAAAGTTTACTGTGATATAGAAAATTATCACGAGGCTGCTGATTGCTATGAGAAGGGACTGGAAATAGTACAAGAGACTGGTGACAAGAAACTAGAGTGTGCGATGTGTAATAGCATTGGCGCTGCGTGTGAAAAACTGGGAGATTATGAAAAGTTTATGGAGTATTCAAAACAAGGCTTCAATGTTGCATTAAGAATCGGTGACTCTAGACTTACTGCAGATTCTTATGAAGGTCAATGCCCTGTGTGACTATCAAAATAGTATTAAGTGCTATAAAAAAGCTATTGATTTGTTCAAACGACTGAATGATGAAGAAAGATTAGGGCTTTGTTATGGAAACATGTCATTATCCTATCAAAAGCAAGGAAAGTACCATGATGTAATTCGTCTATTAGAAGAGAGTCTCAGGATAAGTGTTAAAATTGGAAGAAAAGAAGAGCAGGCGACTGACTTACTTAACTTGGGATCAATATACACAACGTTGAATGATTATGATAAGGCCATCGAGATGTTCCAGAAAAGTCTTGCTATCAGTATAGAGATCGGTAATAAAGGTCTGCAAGCAAAATGTTATGGTAGCCAGGGAAATGTTTTGTTTCATTATTGTGAAAAATATTCAGAAGYCATYRTGTATTATCAGAAATGCTTAGACATTTCAAAAGAAATCGATGATAAACAATCACAATCGGTCGCCTTATTAAACATTGGCAAATGCTTAACGGGATTACATCGATACGAAGAGGCGAAGAAACAATACCACAATAGTCTTGCTCTTGCTAAAGAATTAAATGACAAATATAGTGAGGCAAGAATTTATCATGCTATGGCTGTAATCAATATTAGCAAAAATCAATTTCAAACTGCTTTAACTTTATTAGAGAAATGCCTTGACATCGCTTCGACTATTGGCAATAAAGATCTTGAGGGCATAGCATGCTCTAATTTAGGTCAAGTATACTATTCATTACACAAAGAGAACCAAGGACATCAAACATGTCATAATACTGATGATAATATAGCTAAATCAGAAGAATACTTGAGGAAGGCACTTGATTGTTATGACTTTTTGTTTCTACATCTCCATCAACATGATGATTTCAAAGTCTCTATTTTTGAAACATTCATTCAAGCGTACAAGCTACTCACCACCGTGCTCATCGAGACAGGGAAACCACAAGAGGCTCTGTTAGTATCTGATGGTAGACGAGCACGTGCTTTAGGAGATCGCTTGGTCTTCAAATACGGTATGATTCAAAAAGAAATGTCATTGCCTAAGCCACTAACCTATTCTGATGTGGAGGCGATCTTCTTTAAAGATGTCTTCTCGATACTGCATTACAGCTTGCTACTAGTAAGCAACAGTTTGGCTGTGTGGGTTTTAGCTAAAGACTCACTGATGTTCAGAGAAACTGAAAARGAACAATTTGATTCTGCCATAGAAACATTGACTCAAGAAAAGAAAGATGATGATGAAAACTCCATTAAACGTTTCTTTACTTCTACGGTTTCAAGAGTATATGAAATGATGAAAATCCAAGAAAGCGTCACATGTGAAAACAGATCACTTGATGATTGCGTTACATCGAAAGATCACGTCACTACAAAAGCTTSTGAATCTCTGTCACGTGATGATGGTACCAATGAAGAGAACCTCGATAAAGCGTCTCACCCACTGGAAATGTTGTACAATTGTTTAGTTGCACCTGTCCTATCAGACGTACGACACGACGAGATTGTCATAGTACCCGATGGAMCAATGTATAGGGTACCATTTGCAGCCCTCAGGGATCCCAACACAGGACAGTATCTGTCAGACACCAAACGCATTCGCCTTGCGCCATCAATAGCTATATCAAAGGTTCTAAAAGAATGTTCAGTGGATAATCACAGCCAAAAAGGAGCGTTGATTGTAGGAGATCCCAGTGTTGGAGAAGTCATGTTCAGAGGAAAGAAACGAATGTTTGAACGTCTACCGTCAGCAAATAGGGAAGTCAGTTTTCTTTCTTACAAACTGGGGCAAACAGCGTTGACTGGTGAGCAAGCTACCAAAGACGCTGTGTTGCGCAAATTGCAAGAGGGATCAGCTGTGATTCACATTGCTGCTCACGGGAGCTCTGACAATGGTGAAATAGCGCTAGCACCAAATGTCTCACCAGAAAGACAAGGTATCCCAGAAGAAGATGACTACCTGTTGACGATGAGGGAAGTCCAACAAATCGGAATCAAAGCTCAACTTGTTGTGCTAAGCTGTTGCTATAGAGTGGTCGTGGAGAGATCAGGGCTGAGGGCATGATTGGACTTAGTCGTGCTTTTCTTGCGTCCGGAGCTCGTTCTGTCGTAGCGTCATTGTGGGCAATCGATGACAGTGTAACTTATAGTTTCATGGTAAGTTTTTACAGTTATCTGACTCGAAGTGAAAGTGCAAGTGTAAGTCTTCATAAAGCCATGCATGATATTAGAAAAGAAGGCCACAGGGATCCCATGTACTGGGCTCCTTTCTTCTTGATCGGTGATGATGTCATCCTGAATTTGAGGTAAAAAGTGTCTTACTTTTCATGACTCTTTATGCATGTAATGATAGGAAACTGTTAAATACTTGATGTTTATAGTATTATTTCTACCAACAAGTCTAATCATTCTAGCAACTATTCAATTGTTTTCTTTGATGTCGATTTTAACATCACACTTTCATAGTTAGATTATTTTGTTTGACATGTTTTGAGTTGAAACACAGAGTGAGGTCATTAAAGCCGTGAAACAAAATTTGACTAGGAAAATGTGATGGTCAAATACACATAAAAGAATACAATGCACATCGAGCATGCTTTGATGTGTTAGTGTAATATACAGGTTTTTGACTCGAAAAACTTTCAAATGTTTAAATAAGATTTGACTATTAAAATGTGTGATGTCAAAAGACAAATGAAGAAAACAATGCAATTTGAGAGCACTAAGTAGCAGTATGGTTTATACTACATTGACTTCACTCTATATTTCATCGTTTTAGTGTTCTGAGGTGTATTAGTGTGTAATCTACTAATCACGATTTTTAGACTTCACTCATAGACACTATTAAACACAGACGGTTAGTGTCCTTACATTTGACCCGTGAAACGCTAACTGTTATTATGTAATACTCCAGCTGAACGAAACGAAAACAACTAAAGTTGATTTCATTTGACGGTTAAAGATTATCAAGCTATGAATCTATTGTTTCACCAACAAATGCTAACTAAATGGTCATTTTCATTACATGGTCAAAGACTCCAGTAGTCTGGTAATTTTTTCACGGGTTAACGACTCTAATCGTCAGTATGGTCAACTGTGTTTATTATTGTCATATTGGCCGATGTTTTTTTATGGCTTCACTGGGTGAAGTACTGTGTTTAAGTGTAGTAGATATTTCACAATGTCTGGACAAAAACCCATCTACAGTTTTCAGTTGACTGGGAGAGATGCAGATTGTCCTTGATGATCGCAATGAACAAAAGATCCAAAGATGTATATAAATAAAAGTACGCTAAGTATTATGGTTAGTTGTAGCTCCTTGTTAAAGTTATAATTCTTTAAGTAATGTTTACAACATTCGCGTCCGCCCATACAAGACGGACGCGAATGTTGGAAAGTAATAAACCCTTTTAGCGATCTCTTTTACGCTGTGTTAGCCTCAAAACCATGCAATAAATTCTTTTATTCACAACAGCCCGTGCAAATGCAAGAGATCTGTGAGTATAGAAGACAATGGAAATAGTTTGAAATCTCACGAGTTTTATCTACATTTCTGAATATTTTAGCACACAATTGAGGCTAACACAGCGTAAAAGAGATCGCGAAACTCGACTATTATGAAACGTTTAGGTGTATACATTCATAATCTACTAAAAGCTTAAAGGTAAAATTGAATTTGGCTGGAAAATTAGATTAGAAGTTTATGCAAATCAAGACAGTTTTGTATCAAATATTACAACAMTCTTCACGGTTGTGATTTCTATTTTGTTTTCCTCAATTATTCATGACTTTTACCATTAGCGATATACGATTAGATATAAATTTCACCTTTTCTGAAAGATGTTTTTTTAATATATGCCTTATCTGTCGACTCGCTTGTTTTGAAAATATATATACCAAGATTACAGGCAGCCTTAAGGCCCGGCCAAACGGTAAATGTTGCACGATGCAACACCATGCAACATTGTTGCGCGCTGCAACGTTTGTTGGATCATCAAACAAATTTGAGGGTGGCCAAACGGTTTGAAACATTGCCGTAAAACATTGCCGGGAAGACTATTATTGTCTACAAAAATACCCAAAATGCGTCAAATCCGAGGCGCAGTACGCATGCGTGCATGAAACATGTTTCATATAACCGGCCAAACRCCAAAACATCGCACGTCAAACACGAGAACAAAAGAAATGTTGCACGGTGTTGCRTTGAATGTTTGACGGCCTTCAAACTCCGTGCAACATGTTGCATGCTCCATCGAACAACATCCAAAACCTTCAAACACGGTTGCTAAACGAGAAAATGTTGCATCGCGAAACAATGTTGCATGGTGTTGCATCGTGCAACATTTACTTTTTGGCCGGTCCTTTAGACTTCTGGCAACAACTTCATAGAAGTAATGGTATACACTACTTCCTCAATTAATAAATGAGCGCTGTCATTGTAAAAGACACCTATAAGCTACTGAGGTCCCTATTGGGCGCTGCTCTTACAGGTCACTGATATTGGTTCTTTAGCGTCCATTCGCATTGACAACACATGTAGTTTTCTGACTAGCGCAAGCATAGGCTACCCAACTATTGCTTGAGGGAAAGAAAAGAACGAATGCGCACTCTTCTATATTATGTTATCGAATTGCATCGCGCTGCGGGTTTCCTGTGGTATTACGTCATTGATCCCTTGCCTCGCGGATCGCGGGTATGGTTACCTTACGTCACGATCCCGCGCCTCGCGGGATGCAAACTAGTCTGTGACAAGGTATGAAACACTGGTCACGTGACAAATATAATTTTGCTTCTTTTCCAACGAAAAACAACAGAACACGACGATTTTCTTTCAAATAACAACACATCGTCAGGTTTCCTACCTATCTCATGATYTTCAGTTTGAAATGTTAATTTCACGACGAGAAAATGAACAATAAGCATTTTACTCGCCGTGGACCGATGTGTGCCCCAGGTATAGTGTCCACCCCTCCCTAGCTTGTTTTATTCGGGAAGACTTCGAGGCCTTTCGTAAACAGTCGAGATTTTTCCGAGAGTCATCCGCTACCGTGCATTCGCTCGTGTCCGATTCGTGTCCTGAATTACTTGGTTGGTCTTACGCTGATTTTCAGTTTTTGATTGGAAGCTTTATGCCAATATCCTGAAACTTTGAGACTTCATGCAAAAGATGAGACAGTACATTGTGAGGAACAATTATTTTAAAGGCAAAGATCTTATTGAAGACTCTTGTCATTTCAAAAACTCGAAAAATGGAGCAGAAAAGTTCATAACTTACGCGGATTTTTACTTGAGTTTAAGCTTATAAGACTTAAATTTGTTATGCCCATATGCAGTTAAAGCAAGCCTTCTTGAATGAGGGACTAGTTGAAACTAGAGATCCTTTCCTGATACTTTGAGAGGTATGTAAAGCACATTCGTTACTATGAAATCTATCGGCTTTTTTCTTGCAAACCACCGGCAGTTTTGAGAACTTTCCATTACATTTTATGAMACCTTACGTTTCACCGCTTTATTTCAGATTATTTAGATAATGAATTTTGTTATGTAGAGATTTTTGATGTTTGAAAACCSGAAAATGCTTCGTTCGGTTGAATTGAGTCGTTTCAACTCAACCTAACCATTTTTTTTTGCGATGCGGTTTCAAAGCACATTCAAGCCAAGGTAATTAAGATCTATGAATAATAAACTTGTTCAAAATATGTCTATTTCTTGTACTTAGAGATAATAAAGCTTTGTTTTTGTTATAAAGATTTTCATTGTTTTACTATCAAAATGGAAAGTCAATTAAATATAGCTAATATAGTCGTTTGAAACTAGAAAACCTCGAAAACTTTTCATATTGTTTTGTTTTTTTGTTAATTTTGTTTCTTGTCTGTATGTTTCCTTTCCTTTTTTTACAGAAAATTGAATTTTAAAGCTTTATCCTTGACATTTTTTTTCGCCTCGAGAAACTCACGATTGTTTACGATCGTTTACGATGGGTCACGAAGTCTTCACGAATGAAAAAAGGTAGGGAGGGGTGGACACTACACCTGGGGCACACATCGATCCATCACGTGACCAGTGTTTCATACCTTGTCACAGACTAGTTTGTATCCCGCGAGGCACGGGATCGTGACGTAATATACCACAGGTAACCCAAGCGCGCGACCATTCGATAAGATAATAAAAGCGTGCGCATTCATTCTTTTCTTTCAAGCAATAGTTGGGTAGCCTATGGCGCAAGCGCTGTGCTGTCATGCTGGTATGGAGAGTCCGAGCGAGCTATTTAGAAGGCCAGCGACTTCAACTCACCTTTGTCATTTGCTACGAGACAAGTAACGCGCGCGACGATTTACCCTCTCTTCTTTCAAACCAGAATAACAAAGCCAATAGTCAAGGCTACCTGATCATGAYGTGTTGRCTRTAAGGTTAAATAGCGCTTTCTCCACGTAGATGGGAATCCGAAAAACTGCGCTATCTTGGTGCTCTTCTCCTCAACAATTGTACTAACATAATTATGGTCTGATAAAATCGATGCTGCATTCTGATTGACAGCTCTAATAGAGGTCTAATTTAGACCATAGGAAAGGAAGCAAGATCGCGGATGAAAAGAGGAAAACCACGATTAACGATAATTTCTTGCCCTGAGAACTGTCGTTCTCTCTTGTTATTTTGAAAGAAAAAGGATTTTACGCTTTCTGTGTTTACTGCTCCAAAAAGGAGATTAGCATGTGACGTGAAGTATGATAAAAACATTTTCGACTCTGAGTGATTATTTTAATTTACACCAAACTAGTTCGTTTGATAAAATGTATTGTCCTCTTGTGTGCACAACAAAATATTATGTGCGAAGGCACCAACACAGGGATCCCACCAATAAAAAGCAGTGAAATGAAGGACGGAAACTGGAAAAGCATTTTACTTGAAGTGATCGCTTTAAAAGGACACGGCATTCTAAGATTACAGGATTGCTTATTATGAATATGTATGATCTAATGAAACAATCTATGGCTTTTTAAAAAGATTTTAAAAAACATAAAAAATGTGAAATATACATGTTTATAATGACATATGTACAATAGTATGCTTTCTTTCTATATGTCACTCTTTCAGTTGACACTCAATGAAATCTTTCATTTTATCTTTCAAATGATCAATCATTGATTCTTCATTTCATTCATTGTTGATATACACATAAGTCATATTGTAGCTATCAAACTGGCACATTTATTTATCGAAACATATTCACCTTGTGCCAGGAGGCTAATAGGGACTTTGTGAAAGTCTAAAATTTATTCAAATCATCTCTGTATAAAGTGAAACCCTGTCGCAATAGCTACATAAATCAAAACACTCATTTCCGTGTTGAGCCAGACTTCAGGTAATACTGCACAGCGGAATTACAAACGATAGAACTCTTTCTGGAATTCGAGCAAAACCTTGTCTCTTGGGAGGTATCATGTCCCTCGGAAAGTGAAGCTTAACCAACTTTGAAAACCAAGGCGCGGATGCCAAGAACAATACTCAACCGAGAAGGAACTCGGCACTAGCTTTTAGGCATAATCAGCAATGGCGGACATAGAGGACGAAACTGCAGTAGTAAGTTAAGGTAAATAAATCGTATTGCTTAGAGCATATGCAGGAAAACCATGAAATAAAATCAAACTAAATACTAACAAATAGCGGCTATTTAGAGATAATTTGTCAGTACCAATGAACCAGAACACAATGAACATGAATCCTCATGGGACCATTTTTCATTTATCTTTATTGCGTTCTGGTTCATTGATACTGACAATTTGTCTCTAAATAGCCGCCATTTGTTAGTATTTAGTTTGATTCTGTTTCATGGTTTTCCTGCGTTTGCTCTATATGGTATACTAAAAGTTTTGTTGCGAAGTTATGATTGCATATATTTAAGACTCTTCTCTAGTTTACAATTCACGAACATTTGAGCTTATAAAGGAAAAGAGTGACCTTGTTTTTTTCAAAGCTTGTAAGTCTTATAGTTTGTTTCATTCAGTTTCAATCTCAAATCAATCCTCTTTAACACCTGCTAGGTTTAGAGGCACAAATGGATATAGGACTTTATGACTTTTTAGCATCACGCAGACTTTGTATTTTATAGACATCAATATTCCTATACTTTTACAATTTCTGTAATTTTGCATTATTGTGCGTGGTCATAATTTTTCACCATCACTTGTTCTAATTGTTGTTGTCATTATATATTTTACTACTACTGCTACTGCTGCTGCTGCTACTACCTAGTGCTACCTAGTGCTAGTACTGCTACTACTGCTACATGTACCACTGCTTCTGCTACCTACTGCTACCTACTAATGATGGTACCTACTAATGATGCTACCTACTAATGATGCTACCTACTAATGATGCTACCTACTAATGATGCTACCTATTGCTACTACTCCTACTGCTACTCCTACTGCTACTACTGCTACCTACTAATGATGCTACCTACTAATGATGGTACCTACTAATGATGCTACCTACTGCTACTGCTATCTATATTGCTATCTATACTGCTACCTACTACTACTGCTATCTATACTCCTACCAAGTCTCTTTGGCAGCATCCCCTTTTGTCCGGCTTCCTGTCCCTCCCAAAAGAAGAGGCTGCTTACCCAAGTGTAAGATTCCGTTCCCTATTGTTTGGTTGCAAAAGCCAAGACCAATCAGATGAGTGCTGTTGTATAGTGARAGCCAATAAGGGTTGACTATTTTCACTGATTCCCACCAAACTGATCAAAGAAGTAAACAGTTTAGCGGTRTTGAGAGCATTCAGTGATATAAATAAACCAAGTAATACAAGTAGAAAGCAATGTTACCTGTGTTCGTCTAAGTGCTTTCTTTTGGGAGGGACAGGAAGCCCGACAAAAGGGGAGGCTGCGAAGGAGACTAACTGCTATCTACTGCTATTGCTACTAGTAATAATAATAATAAKAAGAAGAATATGTCATTTTTTTATTTTTTCATTTTGACTTTATAATCTACTAGAATGACATTGACACTRTGTACATTGTAAATCTGTATAAGACACAAAAGGCAAAAATGGAATTGAATTAATATTACYAAAATGTGTTAGTGTGTTGTCTACTATGTGTAATTTCATGTGTTTTCTGACTTCAATCTTCTTAATTTGCATTGTTTTATGTTTTTAAACTAAATTGTTGTAATAGTTACACAATTTGGTGTTTACACTCTTTTCCTATTGATATAATTACTGTAATATTATGTGATATATAGAGAGCTCTAACTTAACTTCTGACATTTAAATACAGAATGCAGATGCGACTCATAGTATTGTAACAGTATCAAATGTTTTTAATGTGTTAAATGTTGATGTTTAATAGGAGATGGATATTCCTGATAATTCCAATACAGTTCAGTGGAGATATCAAAAGTTGGAAATAAAGATACATGTATTGAATAGCATTTAAGCAATATTGCTGTCTTCTTTGTTTTATAATATATTCATTTGCCCAATGTGTACAATCAATGGTACAAACATGAACATTCCTTATTTAAGTCTGTAAATATAATCTTGATTCAGTTTAGAATTCCAATGTATTTAGCAGTTGTGACAGTATTCTCCAGTGAATTTTAATTTATACAATTTGCAGACTCTTAGTTCTAAAAGATAGATTACAAAAGAATGGCAATTGATTTAATTATGTGAGATGCAAGTGTAGATAATTAAAAGTAATTAATTGAAATGAATTAATTGTTCTTCAGAATATGCCGCATTYGTRATGATGTAGCACAGTTTAGTGTGATGTTTGTGCTGCTGAAGTCTATCTGTTTTTATGTCAAAAAATTATGATGAGGAACACATAAACCCAATACTAATTAGCACAAATTAAAACTATTAAATGATACCAAAACAGGGCTTTTTTCYCTTAGGAGTAATCATTATTAACTCTCTTCAGTACTACAAGTACTAATGAATGCTTTAGTGTTTCCATATTGTGTAAGATCGGTGTAGTTCRGTTTATATTACTTGTAAATGTTTCTTGCATATAAACCGACTGCATRCAGTCCAGGAATTAAAGTGAGTTGAAATTAGTGTATTTATAAATAGTCATTGCTACCCATTTCATGGGGATCAAAATTATATATTCTCTTAGATAGAAAAAATTTAGAAAGGCTCATCCAGACTCGTACTCAGTCACTTCTCTCGAACAATGATGCATGAAGAGAAGGGCGAAGGATCTCTCCTTCCCATCAACCCATTTGAGCATAAAGTAAAACATAACGACTGGGTGCGAATCTGAGGCTCATCAATGTTGCCTTGTTTCCTATTAAATTGATTGTATTAAATTCACTGATTAAAAGGCTTACCATCATCTTAGAGGATGGATATGGTGCCCATTTGTCTTGACAATGCCTGGTTTTGAATGTCTTTGTTTTTGTTGTTCAAAATTCAGTTGAATTATTGTAAACCTCAAATTGTTGTGTTTTTCTTTTGTTGTAATGTCTTTGTTTTCTAGTTTATTATTGGTTAATAGTTGTAAATCATGCTTTTTTCTACAATGGCTGTGTGTCATATGAACCCATTCATTCAAAGARCACCTTTATCTTGAAGTGAATATACACCTAATCACATTTTTAAGGATTTAAGAGCTAAGGAACACAGTAAAAGAGCAACGATGAACACTAAAACTGAGCACTTTCTTTAGCATTTTAATAAATTCCTAAATACTTAAACATCTTTTTCTTGGGAAATGTTTTTGTAATAAGGTTTACGTACAAACAAGCACTTAAGCCTTGCATTGACTAGAAGAAAGCATGAGGCTTCTTTCGTTGTTCTTACGCTTGTGCTTGCGCTTGTGTTTACGATTGGTTTCTATAGTGATAATGAAAAACAAAAGCAGATCTCGCTATGAAGATACTCTAAGAATCGAACTTGGTTAAGTGGCTTCACTTTTTGACTCAAAATAACCAAGGTCGGATGAGGATGGTATTGCGGCCTATTTGCCTAAGTTTTACACATATCCCTATGCAGATACCCTAAGAATCGAGCTTGGTTAAGTGGCTTCACTTTTTGTCTCAAAATAACCAAGGTCGGTTGAGGGTTGTATTGCGGCCTATTTGCCTATGTTTTACACATATCGCTATTAAGACAACTCTAAGAATCGAACTTCACCTTTTGACTCAAAAAAACCAAGGTCGGATGAGAATGGTATTGCGGCCTATTTGCCTATGTTTTACACATATCCCTATGCAGATACCCTAAGAATCGAGCTTGGTTAAGTGGCTTCACTTTTTGTCTCAAAATAACCAAGGTCGGTTGAGGGTTGTATTGCGGCCTATTTGCCTATGTTTTACACATATCGCTATTAAGACAACTCTAAGAATCGAACTTCACCTTTTGACTCAAAAAAACCAAGGTCGGATGAGGATGGTATTGCGGCCTATTTGCCTATGTTTTACACATATCCCTATGCAGATACCCTAAGAATCGA